GGTGACTCGAGCTTCTTAATCGTCGGAATTGCGTTTTCGACTAACAATGGAAAATCAGAGATTTACGTACCATTCCTATAGAAATTCCAAAGGACCCGATCAACCCGTTGAACCTTCCGGCGGGTACGCACCAACTGTTCAACAGGATGAGACAGGGAACACCTTTTACCCGCTTGCCGTCAAGCTCAGCCTAAGTTTGCCTTTGAAGCAGGGTTGACCTCGTCAGGAAGTGATGAGTGAAACGTGAGTTTAAGTCATTAGGTCGATATACGTTAACGACGAATTTAGTGATTCGCCTTGACAAATGACGACACCTTCGTTCCACGTTTATAAATTGAATATTTATAACTAAAGTGCACTGGGCTAAGGTATATTATGCCTTGGAATAGGAATTGTACCGTGGTACTGTCTTTAAGGTATCCCCGAGCTAGCTCCTACTTGGCAGGGGCGTGAAAGAGGAGATGAGAGAAAAATTGTTAATCTGGAATATAGAAAAATGGAAAGATCAAGAAAATTAATAAAAGCATGATTTTTTCAATCAAGATCGAAATTATTCAACTTTCTCGATTTATTGCATGCGTAAATACCTCAGACAACGCATAAAACCTTGATTCATCTTTGAGGCGATTAAAAGAGGTCTTATGCGTCGAAGTTGTTTTTTAGGCATCAGATGACTTTAGGATTTTTATTTTGTGGAGCCATGTCACGATGCGTAAGTTTACCTTCTATGTAGGTCGGCGTACCACTTGATTCATGCTCAATTGATATTAGTACTTGATTCATGAAATATACGGGAGACTTTTTTGAGGTGTTTCGCATATATCCAAGATATCTAGAATATACAATTCGCAACAATTAAATCTCTGCTACATAAACTGTACATTGTAATATCAGTTATGCAAAAGTTACATAAACCTGAAAATCTTATTTACCGAGCATACACGTTTGCGTACTTTCATGTCGTGAGTTTATCTTTTGACTGGGGTAACTGGAATTCTGAAACGTTCGTGTCGCAGCGCTGCAACGCCTGGCCGATGCAAACTTGCAAATCGGCCCGGATTTGCATAGAGAACAAGGACGTTGCAGATGTTCGCTCTTTTTCCTGCATGAATAGGATAGATACGTATTATTTAGATATACCATGGCAACGAAGTGTAGCCAATCCGTTTAATTAGTGGAATTCAGGGAAACGAACAATTAGCTAGAAAAAATTGTTTACCTTTTCACTGAGACATGGTCCGTTTAAGAAAGGTTTAAAACCTTGATTACACTGTTAAATGTAAATTTTTAATTAGTAATTCGCGCTTTTGCAAAAACATAATTTATATAGACCATTCGCGAAAATTGGAGAATCGGCTGAATATATTCACACAACATATCTAATTGTCATGCCTACAATTTCGTGGTTATGAAGTCTTAAAAAAAATATATATGTCCAAAAATACCCTCGACTCTATAAGGGTTAACGACGTATCTACTTTTTATTAGCACGCTTTTATACGGATCTGTAAATTCTTCACTGCAAGCTCCGTCCGTTCGAATACCTTCGATTTATTATTTTAATCGGCGCCTGCCTCGCGTTATTGAAGAATAGCCACGTTCTGTTTCGCTGGTTCGTATTATCCGCTTTTCCTCTTTCTCTTATTACGTTCCTCCTGCTATTAGCGATGCTGCTGGCTCCGTGTCTCTATTGTTAAATGCATTTGTGTTCTGGTTGGACAATGCGTATTGGTCCGTGATAGATGTTACCTATGCACCAGCTTTACTCGAAACAACGAACGGACGCCGTTTGTCTAGGAAGTTTAATGCGACCGTGACAAATCGTCGTTAGAAATATTGAGAGAGAACAAATTAATGAACGATGCAACGTACATACCCATTACGTCACCTGACACCGACGTAATATTTTATTGCAAAATATCTTCCAGATAAAGTTGACAGATGAACCGGGTTAATTAAATCAAGAAATTTCTGTATGTTCCCCTGGTCCCTCTGACTATGCAAAAATGTATTTTTAATTAAAAATCGTGAATTGGTGAATTTTTAAATCGAACTGCAATTGGAACAATGAATATTCTTCGTACGTGTTATAATAATTTTTTTAGGGTTTGAATAATTTATTTTTATTATTTTACCCTACCTGAGATCGCTGCCAAGAGTAATGGAGCTGAACTGAAAAGATACGTGACTTCTTGGAACAGATCTGTATCGCGGTCTCTTTTTAATCCGGGGTCTTGCTGTGGGGTTTTATGGGCGGGGGCGGGGGGTATCTAAATTTCGAGAATACGTATGAACCAGGCAGGATATCCCTGACAGTTCAAGGACACTCGAAGCTTTCGAATAAATTTAACTCCGGATCCTCCTCCAGGGGCTTTCGCCTCTTTTCTCTTGGGTGGGTTAGGCCAGGGACAGAGTTCAGGATTCACTCCTCGTTTTAGTGAACCCTTTTATAGGGTCGTCTAATGTCCCTTTAAACCCTGCGGTCTCCACGGCCTCGACGCTTTTTCTATGTACTCATATTGCACCACGTATAATGGGACGCTATACGCTTGGGCTATTCTTATGGGGGATCGATCTATCCGGATATTTCAAGCCCCGTTATACGTACCGTGTACCATGTACGTTGACAGAGAAAATATCACAGTATTATCGAAACATTCCGTCAGTCAGTAATGTGTTACAACAATGCAAGAATATTATATGTCTTTTTTTTAACAATGAACGTAAAATAATGTATTACTTGTATACCTACGTTTTACGAATATATTTGCTTAAATATACCATACCGTGAAAATCGACTTTTTTTACTCTGTTGACATTGACGAGAACAAAGGAAATAAATTGGAGGTTCAAATTTTTTTTTTTTTTTGAAAGAACGTTCGAAGAACCGTACCGAAAATAATCAGTTAACCTTAGAACGATACGCGTTGCCCACCTACTGTTACAAAAACGATGTCCAGTGGCGCACAGACCCAGTCGGACATAAATACGAATTTTTTTCTCCGGATCGATCTTCCTCTGGTCATTTGAAGATATAAGCTGTTCTTATCTAACAGAGGTCTTTCGCATATTTAATATTCTGTTCAGTCGATCGGTATGTTTAATCCACTAATCAACCCAGTCCCCGAGGTTAGGACGTTTCACCTTATCCTAACCTTACCTAACCTGGCTTGGACCAAAATCATATATACTGTAATAAGATATCATTCGCACCTTATTTCTTTCCGTCTGACAGAATTTGCAGAAAAAGTCTTTTGCATCCAATCGGGTCCCCGCGCAACTGCCCGCCCTCTGTTACAATTCGTATTGTGCAGGGTCCGACGTGTGCGAAGACGTTCATCTGCATCTAACGTACCGTTTAGTTTCTTTATTTTCGTGACGTCACTCAACGACAGAAACACAGGAACTCTTTGTTCTTTTCAAGAGGTCCTCATGCATCTTTGAACGAGCCTCCACGCTGCCGTTGATACTGTTCGGTAAGGCCCGTCTGACTGACGGTTTCCGGAAAGATTGAAATTTTGCAAGGACTCAAGAGAATTCACCAGATCAGCGTGTGACGCCGGGAGACGCTGGGGACATTTGGCTAAGTTCAGCGTTGTAACGGCACTCCGACAACTTCGCAGGGTACTTACTATACGTTACGTAATTTTATGACGAACGGCAATATGGGCAATTTGCTGAAACAGGAGGGATGGCAGTACGGACGTTTCGTAAAGGGTGTTAGGTGTGGCGGTAGGGTGGGGGTGGATGGGGGTAGGAGAGGTAATCTCACCATTTAAAATTTAATAACCTTGTCGGAGTATAGCTTTGTGCTCAGCTGAAATAGAATAATTCCAGATAGACGCGGTTGGGCGCAATTCATCCTCAATCCTTTGCTTTGTCTTCGGACAAGAGAGGTCTCTCGTCGACGACGCTCCTGACGTAGATTAATTGGTCCTGAAGTCACTTTAAATTGAATTAGGTATACCAACGACTTAGGGTCACGTGTCTTACCCGTATCTGGTTGGTCTCGGGGGTTTTTTCTTTTTTTTTCTTTTCTTTTTCTCTTCAATTTTTTTTTTTCACCTCCCTCGACCCTGCTATTCTTTTCCGTTACTTTTTTGTTTCTACACAACCGAAGTAGTACTACGTAACCTCGACCTTTTACTCACACATACCCTGCAATCTTTCTAAAGCTAGAAATGGAACACCCCCTTGCCCTACTGGCAAGTACAATACGTCGTTTCAACGTAGCGCAAGAGACCTTGAGCTTGTTTTTTTAGCTTCCAGAAACTATATCCTCGTTCCTATACCGACACTGATTTAATGCCTAGCTTTTTTACTCGTTACTCCGAAAAGGCTGTCGGGGACGCTACTCCGCTTTGGCAGGTGGTAAACCTACTTGGGATATCGGACCGAGATTCTTTTTTGTCTTTTTTTTTCCTGTTATCTAACAAGGAGATTCGGCTCTGCTAGGGTTAGATTAACGTACGAATTATGAAATTCAAGATTTTATTCTAGCGTTACCAGTGATTTATGTTCTAATAGGGAATTGAAGGCATCGAAGAATGAAATCGATATCGATACCTTTACATCCTTGCGAGATACAAGGGACTTGAGGATTGGGAACGTACAAAATTGCCGAAGCGGAAATACTCGCTCGTCACCCAGCCCCCTTATTATTCACTGAAATGTATTCATGGTATATCTATATTTATACGTTAGATCCTAATGTTTCATTCAGCAATTCTCGTTTCTTTGATGTCTATTCGGTATTAATTACTCTGTATTTTTACGTGCGCAACGAGCACGTTCTCGGCGAATCTCACGCTTAAACATCGTCAGTTGAATAATGCTCTTTGGATAATTGCGAGGATAACCTCGCGTTATCAAAGAACCCTTATCAATAATTTTCTCTTCTCGTCGGAATCATGAATTTCATAAGATTGTTGCGCAAAGGAGATACGGATGAGGCAAGAAAAAAAAAAATTTTAATTTTGAAAAAATTTTTTATTCTTCAGAGCTGAACTCTACTTCGCCGTCGACCAGCGAACTCAGTGAACTCATTAACGATATCGAAAACGACGAACTCAATCCCGATCCTGAGGACGAGGATTCTATGGAGGATATTCTCTACATGAGAGGAGCGTCCTTTACGATACACCTGGAATCACCACGGAACGATACTAATATCAGTAGCACTGATAGAGAAGATGCTAATGAGATACTAGATCAAGACAAGAACCTGCCCACGCCCCAAGTAAGTATCAATTTTATTCTTTGTCAATGCATTGTCGCAATTCAATAATAATAGGACGCCAAGCTTCTCATCGAGATCAATAGAAATTTCTATCTATCGATGCGAAATTCTTGACACGGGGTAACCAATGACCCTATCCCCATCCAATAATCCATCTTTGACTCGACAAGGTCGATACCTACGGTTGATACCCACGTTCGGACTCTTATCAGTACGGGAACTTCCTGCCGGTACCCTGGAGAATTAGTAGCCGCGATAAAGAACTTCACCTGAGAGATCTATGAGCTATCTGAAATCCTGGTGGCGTTCTTACCTAAGCCAATCGAACGGATATCCAAAGTCGCAGATTCGTCGTCAGACCCAGGGTGGTTCTGATTAAAACTTCTAATTTACGTTCATTATCGGAATATGCTTCTGGATCTAGATTCAGGATATTTGGTAATTAACTTAATATTTTTACCCCAGTCACGTGAGTTTTTACCCCCCTGAGTTTTGACCGTATATACAGTAACGTCCAATTGAAGTGCAAGACTTGAATTTTTGTACATATCTGTGAAAGTATGACAGATTTCGAAAAACCATGGGCATATTTTTTAGGAAATTTCCTTCCCGTTCGAATGGTAAAGGTTTTATCCCGATCGGATACAAAATGGCCGAATGGCAGGGGTTGGAGTGAAAAAGTGCATTTTGGAACTTTTTGAAAAATTCGAGATCTAGTAGTTCCGGAAGGAAATTTATATTTCTAATCAGGGAACGAGAGAGAGCATCCTTCGGCAATAAAAAAACACCCCCATTGAACCCCTGTAGGATCACTCTAGGGGGAGTTACACCCCCTTGAAGTGAAAACACTTAAATGGCCATAACTTCCGAACGCGCCGGCCAATCTGGTCCAGTTTCTGCGTGATATCATCTTTAATGATACTGCAGATTCTCACGAAATTATTGTTCTCGGAGATGATCCCGTGACAGAGATCTCGAGATTTCGCAAGCGCGCCCGAAGCTTCCCCGCCATTTTTCATTAGGAAAGCGATGAAATAGAAGTTTCATTTTCATCCACATTGTAGCTGAGATTTCAACGATTAAAACGCGCTTTTAAACATCCAAATACGAGTACGCTAAGGGGTTACATTTTAATTTGAAAAAACGCCTAAATTTTGCGAGTTCCGCTCGAGGCGCTCGGGGGACTACTAGCCTACCACACGCGCCAAGCATTTGTCCTAGCAGACTAGGTATCTTTAATAATCTATTTTGCTTTCTCACACACATACACACAATTTATAATTGTCTCTCGTTTGATAGTCGTACCGTAGGCGACAAGAAGTGTTTTTGTTTACGTACTCTCTCTGCTAGCCTTTTGGAATGGAAAGAAGTAGCTGGGACCACAATACAGCAGATTGCACAATGCGTCCGATGACCGTGGTCCAGCTATTGCTGAGGATGATAATGATTCGGTACCCACAGGAGATCACAATGAACCCCGTTTGCTGAATCCCTTATCTT